CCACAAAAGAAGAAAATAAGGATAGTTTTCGACGCCGCCGCAAGGACGGGCGGACGTTGTCTTAACGATGCGTTGTTGACCGGACCGGACTTATTGAAGTCGTTGTTCGGAGTTCTGCTACGATTCAGAGAAGGAAGCGTGGCAGTAATGGCAGACATTAAGGAAATGTTCCTGCAAGTGAAAATCCGGGAAGAAGACAGGGATAGCCTTCGATTCTTATGGCGGCACAATCGTGACGCGCCACCGGAAGAGTATAGAATGACGTCACTCATATTCGGAGCGGCATCATCACCATGCATCGCTATATATGTAAAGAATAGAAATGCGCAGGACAACGCACATATCTATCCAGAAGCAGCTTCCGCTACGGAAAGCAATTTTTATATGGATGATTACCTACAGGCGTTTCCCGACGTGACGACGGCCGAAAGGATAGTAAACGATATGTATGAATTACATAAGCATGCTTCTTTCCAACTGAGGGGATGGGCTAGCAACCGACCCGAAGTTTTAAGTAATATGGAAAATAAATATAAGAGCGACAGTGCTTCGCTTGGAGATAAAGAGCACACAGAGCGCACGTTAGGTTTGATTTGGAATATCAAACGGGATATAATAAGTTTTTCCACAAGTCTTCGTAGCACACCGGGAGAGGTGATGGAGGGTTTACGACCGCCTACGAAGAGGGAGATAACTAGCGCTGTGATGTCAGTCTTCGATCCTTTGGGACTCGCATCACCCATAACGATTCAAGGGAAGTCGCTGATCCAGCAAGTATGGAGGACAGGCATCTCTTGGGATGAAGAAGTTTCACACGAGTTACACGTGTTATTTTGTAAATGGATATCGGAAGTGAAGAAATTAGGTCACTTAGAAGTACCTAGACCCGTTGCTGAAGGCATCGGCAAAGGAGAGTTACATACTTTCACGGATGCTAGTGAAAAAGCATACGCTGCCGCGGTGTATTACGTCACCACGGACGAGCAAGGAATAAGGCGGATTACGCTGATCGCCGCAAAGGCAAGAGTAGCGCCATTGAAACCAATTTCGATTCCAAGGCTTGAATTGCAAGCAGCTCTTATGGGCAGCAGACTGGCTGCTTCGGTTAGTGAAGAGAGCAAGTACGAGATGTCCGAGAGAGTGTTTTGGACAGACTCACGTACAGTGTTAGCGTGGATTAAGTCAGATCCTCGCGCTTTTAAACCATTCGTTGCTCATCGATTGGCTGAGATCGAAGATCACAGTAAGCCATGTGAATGGCGATGGGTTCCAACGTCACAAAACGTGGCAGACGACGCCACTAGAAATTTTCTTTCCACCTTCGATGTAAGTCATCGCTGGTTTCAAGGACCTGAATTCCTCAGGAAAAGTCCTGATTTATGGCCCAAACAAGTGGACACCATAAATAGCTTAGAAACAGGTGAAGAAAAATCGCCAAAGGGCGTAAATACGTTAAGAAAGCAAGAACCGTTAAGTCTACCCGACTACGGACGATTTAGCAGCTTTAAGAAATTCCTTGGAGCAACTACACGCACCTTACAAGCGGTAGAAAAATTCAAGAGTTTAAGAAAGTCGGTTAAAGGACCCGACGACGCAACCGAAAAGTCGGTTATGTGTTCCAACAAAGTTTTAGCAAAGTCGGTTAAAGGACCCGATAGCGCGTTGGACACAGCGCTCTTGAAAAAAGGCGGAAATATTAATTTGGAAATTCATTCAAGACGAGTGTTTTCATTCGGAAATAAAATGTTTGAAAGCAGGCAAAAGCGTTGAAAGAAGTTCACGCTTAAGTAAATTATCTATGGAAATAGGAGAGGATAACTTACTCCGTTTAAATGGACGTTTACCTTTCAAGTCTAATTTGACCGAGGAAAGTAGAAAACCTGTCATATTAGACGGTAAACACGAAATCGTTAAAATGATGATTAGAGAAGTTCATCATCATTTTGGACACGCCAATCACCAGACGGTGATGAATGAGGTGAACCAGAAATTTTACGTCTTGAACTTGCGTAATGTAGTACGAAGTGTGTCACACCATTGTCAGTGGTGCAGGACATACAGGTCAAAGCCGCAAAACGTGCCACAAGGAAATATTCCTCTGGAAAGAATAGCTCATCATGAGCCACCTTTTACATGCTCAGCTGTAGATTATTTTGGTCCTATGAGTGTGACTATAGGAAGGCGACACGAAAAACGTTGGGGCGTTTTATTCACGTGTCTGACCACCAGAGCAGTACATCTGGAATTAGCAGCCTCATTGACACCAGCGTCAATGATAATGGCGTTAAGGCGATTTATCGCCAGAAGAGGAAAACCAGCCGTTATATACAGCGATAACGGGACAAATTTCAAAGCTGCAAATAAAGAATTATTGAAAGCATGCGAAGAATGCTATGAGGGCATGAAAAACGAGTCATTTAAGAAATATATTAAATGGAAATTTATACCTCCGGGAGCACCGCACATGGGTGGCGCCTGGGAGAGGTTAGTAAGATCGATTAAAATTGCGTTGACCGCTACGCTTAAGGAGAAGAGCCCACGAGAGGAGGTTCTACATACGTTACTTTTAGAAGCAGAGCATACGGTAAATTCCAGACCTCTGGTAACATTCAGTATGGATAGTCCTGAAGAGGGTTTGACACCCAATCATTTTCTTCTGGGACGCTCATGTGGTGATCGACCACCTGGATTATTTTTAGAGCGACATCTGACGGGTCAACTCAATTGGAAAGCTGCACAGAGGTTAGCCGACCATTTTTGGACAAGATGGCTGAAAGAATACATGCCTACGTTAATACCTCGAACAGGTGATAACGGCAAGTTCATGGAACCAAAAGAAGGCGATATTGTTTTGATAATAGATCATTCGTTGCCACGAAATACGTGGCCAAAAGGTAAAATTAGTAGAACGTTACCGGGACCAGACGGTCACACCAGAGTGGTTGACGTCATTACTAGCACAGGTATCTTGAGGAGACCTACATCCAGAATAATAGTCCTGGTACCCGCGACGCCTCCCAAATGATGGTGCTAACGCACGGGGGGGAGATTGTTGGCGACGCGCCTATAAAAATGTTTCAGTTTATTAAATCAACCGATGACGTTGCTATGAAAAAAGGGGTAGTCACGAGCAACGACGCTCTGATAAGAGAATGCTTAGTTAAATCTTTAAGAAATGTCGAATTAATGATATGAAGGTCTTGGGTTCGACTCCCAGGCCGGACTAGTTTGTTTGTTTTCCTAAGTAATATCGCTTAATAAATTCGTAAGGAATTTAAGATATAAATTATGTTACCGGATTTGTTCCCCGGTCGAGATAATCACTCTGTGCATAGGCAGAATTAATGGATATTAATTGCATAAATGTTGTTTTGTATAAGTTTGATACGTTTTGTACGAAAACAAATGCCTATTTGTTATGATTGATTAATGAGAACATTCATTTATATTGTTATCTGATTAAAGATAGTTTCATACAGTTCGAAAATTGTATAAAAGCATTTAATTTGCCTAATGTGGTCAAAATTGGTGTATTTCATAATTTAATTTTTTCTGATAGCCGAGAGCCGTGCAAAGTTAGTTGTTCACATAGCGTGAGTACACAGAAGCACGCTGGCCACGCCCTTAGGAGGCCGAATATGTAAAAATTTAAAATGTTTGTAATTCAGTGATTTATGTAAAAATTACTTGTAAAATATTTCAGGTTAATTGTACGTGCTAAAAAGGTAAATTCTGTGTTATTTTCATGTGAAAATTCCTGTGTATAAGTGAAATAATGATAGTTTTGTATAAGAAATTTAAAAGTGTTTTAAATAGTGAAATAAATAGAAAAAATGTAAATTAAACTATTGTATTGGTTAGCTTATGTATAAATTCAAGTGAGAAACATTGTTTTAACTTTCTGTGTTAAATATTTAAGAAATTTCGATTTCGAACTTGTGAGTAAAATAGGCAGTTTTCGTTTAATAAATAAAAGGTTTTTTATGATATGAGGATATGATGTATATCATGGTGTAGATATTGTTTTGTACTACCTATATTGATAAATTGTATTTGTATATGATTTGAATAAATAAAGATATTGAGTAAAACGTGAGAGAGTAATAGAACAAATTCATGTAATTGAGTTGCGCAAGCGCGCGAATGGCGCGGCTCACTTTCGCGTATAGCTCTGGGGTAGCTTAGTGAACGGGTTTTATTGCAATCGTTCGGGAATCCTTCGGGAAGTTCGGGAAAAAGTTCGGGAATCCTTCGGGAAATATCCAAGGAAATAGTTCGGGAATCCTTCGGGGAAGTTCGGAAATAGTTCGGAAATAAATAAGAAAATCCGAGAAAAAGTTCAAGAAAAGTGAAAAACCAGCAGTATAGGGAAAAGTGATTACTCTCTCACGGAACGGTTTGAAGATAATTGCTGTTTCATTCCCAAGATCCTTTAAGTTATACAGTCCACATCGAAGAATTAAGGCGTCGGGACCGGGACGACTTCGGAAGACCCGTAATCCCCGTCTGAACCTACTTGCTGAAAAGGAAGAGGTTATCGCCCTAGTGTGTTACTCCGTTGCGGAGATCACATACGTTGTTCCCGAACCCAACGTAGGCGTGATAGGAGGCCGGATCGAGAGAAGCCTCGATTCCTGTTTCTTAGTACCCGATCCGCTAGGTCCTTTTCAATTGGTCCTTTTCAGGATCAAGAGGGACGCCCGAACCTGAGTTCCTTTTCAATTGGTCCTTCGCGGCCGGATTGAGAGGACGTCCAACCTGTGTTCCTTTTCAGGAATCCTAATAACTGGAAAACAATAATAAATAAGCGGCAAAGGATGATGGGCGAGGAATACATTGGATTTAAAAAAGATGGCACTAAATTCGTTCAAAATGATCCTAAACCCGCCAGAATAATGGGTCCAATATGTATGTCGAAGAGATGTTTCAGTGGTAAAGCTATGTATTGCCCAAAGCTAACAGAAGAAGTGCGGTGAGAAATTTTTAAAACCTATTGGAAAATGAGTTGGCATGAAAAGAAAATGTATATAGCTTCAATGGTGGATAAGACACCTACAACTAGAAAAACTAAGAACTCAAATTCAAGGCGCAGTGACACCAAAGTTTACTATTTAAAAGTAAACGATAAAAAGGAAAGAGTTTGCTTAAAAACATTTTTGGAAACATTGGGCATAAAAGAATGGACAGTTCGATATTGGCTAGGAGAGAAGACGACTATCGACAATGAATCTGAACCAAGTGCTGTAGTAGCCACAGAAACAAAAAAAGAATCAGCCAGAAAATACTTGATGGCGCTACCGAAACTACCGTCTCATTACTGTAGACAATCTACTTCAAAGCTATATTTAGAACCCATCATACAAACAAAATCACAATTGTATCGTCTATATGTAGACTACTCAGTTTCGCGAAATGAACCTGTGGCCTCTAGGAAGGTATTTGAAGGGGTTTTATTCGAAGAGAACATCAGTCTATTTCAACCAAAGAAAGACGCATGCGACCAGTGCTGCGCTCACAAAGCAGGTAACATGTCAGATGAGCAGTATATAAAACATATTGAGCTAAAAGACTTAGCTAGAATTGAAAAAACCCTTGACAAAGAAGCAGCACGGAAAGGGACGATACATGCATTAACAGCAGATCTTCAAGCAGTCAAATTGTGTCCTTCACTCAACGCCAGTGCACTATATTTTAAGACAAAACTTGCCGTCCACAACTTTACAATTTACAACCTGGGAACTAATGGAGTCGCGTGTTACTGGTTCGACGAGACGGCATGCGACTTAAAAGCTACTACATACGCATCATTTCTTGTAGATTATTTAACTAAATTACTGGAAAATGATCCAAAGGATGTAGTATTGTTCACAGATGGCTGCACAGCCCAGAATAGGAATAATATTGTGTCGAATGCGTTGTTGCGTTTGGCCATGGCCAAGAACATAGTTATAACTCAAAAATACTTGGAAAAGGGCCACACTCAGATGGAAGTCGATTCGGTGCACTCGGTGATCGAAAGAAAATTGAAAAATCGAGAAATATTTCTACCCTCACAATACGCAACAATCACGAAGGAGGCCAGAAAAGTGCCGAGTCCTTACCAGGTTATTACTCCTGATCATACATTTTTTAAAAACTTTGCTCATAAAGATCACCTCATTTATGATTCAATAAGACCTGGTCGTGGGGCGGGTGATCGTGTCGTCATGGACATAAGGGCCGTAAGATACAGTCCTAGTGGGACAATTGATTTTAAACTCCACTTTGTAGACGATTTTGTTCCTTTACCTAGGAGACCAAAAAAGATATTATCTGACTCTTTAATTGATTGCGTAGGTCCATTGTATGAATCCAGACAACCAATATCCAAAACAAAGTATGATCACCTACAGGAATTGAAGAGTGTCATACCTAAAGACTGTCATAGTTTTTATGATAATTTACCTTTTAAATAATATTCCTAATAACCAAGATCTTAAATGCTGTGATTATTAATCGTTTTAATGAGAATTTAAGAACTAAGATAATAGAAGTACTTCTACGTCTAAGATAATAAGAATATAAGAGCATCCAGGTGTAATGATTGCCATATTTAATTGTTAAAGCTTTTAATAAAAAAAAATTGTATTCGTCCAAGAAACTAATTAACAAAGATTGAAATGCTGGGATTTTAGAAGATCGAGGAGGCTGATTAGTTTATTATTCTTGATTAAGTGAACGTAATTGTTTTATTGTAATTAGAGAAATCCAGGGATTGTGTGATTAAATTGATATCTAGAGTAAGAGTTATTGTTTTTTTTTTCTAAGATGTATAATTTTGTATGTTTTTTTCTACTATAATATATCATAATAAATTCAAATTAATAATATAATATGTATTTTATTTTAAGCCCGCGTATCTCCTAAAAGTATAGTATTTAAATGTAATTTGCTGGTACAAAACCGCGTAAGTGACTTTACACGAAATCTAAACAAGTTTCTAGTACATTTACGTTAAATTTCTATAAAATAAGTAACAAAGAAGCTGCTATAAAGTTCAGTCGGTAATATAATTATAAATTACCAAGTTATTAAGTTTTTTCTTCTTCCTGTAAAATTCTAAAAATGTAGATACGCGGTATTTACAAACTGCTCTTCCGCGGTTTTGCACGCGCAACGACGATAGGCCTTTTCCAATTCCATGAACGCATAAAAAACCTTTTGGTTTTTTGTCAAAAACTTTTCCGCGATCATGCGCATGGAAAAGACTTGATCTGTACATCCCATTCCCTTTCTAAATCCCGCTTGCACATCCCAAATTTTTTCATCAGTTTCTTTCATGACCCTTTCAATCAGTACCTTAGCATACAGTTTTCCCACAATGCTAAGAAGGCTGATACCACTAGCCTCTGCCGGACTATCACGGCTTTGCACCAGTCTCCCGGTATCCGCTTCAGTTCCCAGCATAAATTAAACAAGGTTTGCAGCAGGCCTGCCACCACTTCCTCTCCAGCCCTTAGCATTTCTCATTTATCTGTATGTTTTTGTAAGTAACGCGATGATATCTTCGTCAATTGTGAACATACTTCGATGATTCTTTTTTTTTTTAATACTATACTCTATTGATAATAACATAAGACAGACATTAAGTAACAAAAGTAAAAAAAACATGTTACAGTCAAGATTGAAGCGTAATTTTTTGTAATCGATTTGTAATAATTTTAATCATTTATCTCATGAGTTCAGTGGCCTATATTTAGATATAGTATTTTATATTTAAAATTCCAAAGTCAACACAAAAAAAAACCTAAAAGAAGCAGAGGTGGACAATACCGGGTACGTTTTTAATTTCATTGTTGATATACCAAATTAAAAAAAAAACATAATCCCTTGATAAGTTGTGATTGCAGGGTTTTTCTAATTTTGCCGGTTTATGATGTCATCTTTTATTTTGCGTAAATAATCTGTAATTGTCATACACTTGTGGATTATATTTATGATATTTTTACTGTTTTATTTTTATAATGCGGTATTTTAAGCGCGAGCGCGAGTGACTCACAACATGCAATTCATTAAAAGTGACCAAAGCCAACGGCGACCAAAAAGTTGCCACAATGTTAACCTTGACAAAATTTTAAATTACTTAAAAATACCTAAAAAATGAATAAAACAAACTCCACTTTGTGTTTCATAAAAGCAAACTGCCACACCTTCATATAAAACTCATATAATTAACAGAACTGTACTCGTAGACGTTGCAAGTCATACTTATTTGAAAGTAATATGGCGATCTTGCTTTGTTCTTGTAATAAAAAAAATCATTGTTATTAAAAATGACTGTCATTTCGTTAGTCTTAGTATGTAGTACATTCTCTTTTACATACCACTAATTTTAAGATAATTATAAAAAGCGAACAATGTTTTCAGCATAAGGTAATTTAGGAACAGTTACATGTTTTAACAATAATTTTTTTTTTGGATAGGGTAACAAACGAGCACACAGTCCACCTGATGGTAAGTGGATGCTGTGGCCCATAGACATCTACATCTATCCTCGATTGCGAATCAAAATGCAGATGCGTTGTCACCCGTGAGGACTAAGATGGAATGCCTCGTTTCCAGTAATAAGGGTTCCGGTACTCACCATACTAACACAATAGCAATAAGATACTATTTTACGCTGGTATTCTGTGAGAGCGTGGTCCTTCCCCGGTCGAGCCGACCCATTCGTGCTACAACTATACTACTAATATAGCTGCAGTATGGCTCTACAACGTATAAAAAAGTTCTGAAAGTTACGTTAAAAAGAATTTAGTGAAAATTTTCATTAAAATTATCTATAACTTAACTTTGAATTAAAATTAAAGTTGGTACCCGCTGCGTTGCTGTCGCAGAAGAAATAATTGTGGAATTATCGTTTTAATTTTTCGTTCTCTCTGTCCTATCCACGCATTCCATTCCACACGCACTGTAAGGGGGGGAGGGGGAAGTCTAGAATGTGGCGTGATTTTTTGCCACTAAAAAACGCGCCCCTCCGAGATGGAGGTGGTAGAAATGGTCAACCAATAAATGGACGCCTGACGCTGCCGTCGCTCGCCCTCTTCCAACGCATCACAACACCAGGAGCGTCATCCTCGAGGCTGGCAGAAGGAACCCCGCCCCGGTAAGTGCTCCTTAGACTGCCTTGAGTTGTTTATTTTCTTTGCTACGTTTTCTTTCCCCCAACACCTTAAGTAGAATCCCATCTCGGGACACTGGCTAAATAATAGATTAGAGTGATAGCGAGTGCATCGTACAAGACTGCCAGGTGCCACATTAGCCATCTTGTTTGGTTATAGGGAACCACCACGCATACAGTTCACCAAGAAAATCGATCCCGCATAATAAGGTTTCGGCTCGACCCGGAAATCGAACCCGAGACCCCTATCGCCGCATCTTTTTCTGGTCATTAGCGCAACCAATTTCGGAAGAGTTATATTGCTTGATTAGGAATGATAATACATTAATTGAATTTGACTGCCTCGTTGGTCTAGTGGTTGTATTAGTGCGACTGCTGACCATGAGGTCCTGGGTTCGAATCCCGGGTCGGGCCAAAAAATCAATTATTGAGTTTTTCCGTCAAGAAATTCTCAGTAGTTGCCCGCAGTCAGGAAGTTGGCGTTGCTGTTGGTCCTGCGCCTGATCTCTCTCCGGTAGTCTCGGTTTACCGTCCCATCGGGTTATGAGAATGAGGGAATAGAGAGTGCACCTGTGCTTGCGCGCATACACTTGATCACTATAATCCTGCCCTGCGCCGATGCCTAGCCTCCGTTGAGGTCAGCCGCCGTGACCGAAAATCGGTCTGGAGGACATTATTAAATTGAAATTGAATGATATATATGATATATAGCTTTCAAATAAATTTGTCGGTGCGATACGCACGCCACCTACTATAAGTTAATTGTACTATGTCTATTACTTTCGCGCAAGTGCAGCAATAAGTTGACAAAAATTACCGAAATCTTATGAACGGTGTGACATAAAATACGAACAAACAATGATATTATATAACTTTCAAATAAATTTGCCGGTGCGATATGATACGATACGATACGCGCGCCACCAACTGTAGGTAAATGGTACCATTCCTATAATCTTAGCGCAAGTGCAAGCAATAAGTTGTCAAAGTTTTACCGCAATCCACAAAGAAGTGATTCCAGCCCTAATGGAGGAAAATAGTAAATGAAATTATTAATGTAACTGGAAGGACGACATTCCAGTTGTTAGGGAGCGTTTAAGTATTACGTAACACATTTTTTGAAGATTTTTGACCCTCCCTCACCCCATGTATATGTACCAAATATTTGGAGAAATGTTGGAAAGGAGATTGCGCACAAAGCAAAGTCACGCAAAGTGAAATTGAATTTTACTCTCATTTCACTATAGTAAATCAAGTTTAAAATTGAAAACAAAGATATCTAAGGATAATACATTATCTCGATAGAAAAAAAAACAAAAATTTGCCTCTTGTGAGCTAATTTAGGATAAGGATTTTCGACAAAAAACAGATAGTTAACTATTATAAACAACTAATTATGTGATTTCACTGAGATTTTTTATAGTTTGTTATAATTTACATCATATTAAAGAATAATAATTATGGCGCATACATTTTTATTCCGCACAAAACACGTCGTCTATCGAACGACCTACATCTACATGCATGCATTTGTTTCGTCCTGTTTCGTTAACAGCGAAATTCAAAATGAACAAAATACAAAATTATTTTCAATTAAAGTATTGTTGCGCGTCATAATTAATGCCTGGTATATGGTGATTTACCACTTGCGCCATCTAGTATCGAGTAGCATAACTAGGAGAGCTTTCTAAAAAATTTTATACTAGAAGTTTCTACACCTAGTCAGTCGGGTCCAGTATGTATTCGAACATTCTATATGTTTCAGTAGAAGAGGCCCTATGAAAAACAGATAGTTAACTATTATAAACAACTAATTATGTGATTTCACTGAGATTTTTTTATAGTTTGTTATAATTTACATTATATTAAAGAATAATAATTATGGCGCATACATTTTTATTCCGCACAAAACACGTCGTCTATCGAACCACCTACATCTACATGCATGCATTTGTTTCGTCCTGTTTCGTTAACAGCGAAATTCAAAATGAAAAAAATACAAAATTATTTTCCAATTAAAGTATTGTTGCGCGACACAATTAATGCCTGGTATATGGTGATTTACCACTTGCTCCATCTAGTATCGAGTAGCATAACTAGGAGAGCTTTCTAAAAAAATTCATACTAGAAGTTTCTACACCTAGTCAGTCGGGTCCGGTATGTATTCGAACATTCTAGATGTTTCAGTAGAAGAGGCCCTATGTAAGACCGGTAAGGACCGCGGCCAAGTCAGTGTTGAATTAACTAAATATAACTGCGAACTAAAATGATCAGTAGTGCAATTATGTTTTATTATTAGTGTGTTATGTTTTATTATTAGTGTGTTTGTAAGTTGTAATTGGTGTTTGGTAATTAAAATGTCAATTTTGGTAATTCAATCGGCAGTTTTTATTGTCACGAACCCCAAGCTCGTGGCAGTATTGTTAAATACAATAAACGTATTTTCAAAATAAACTAAAATAATAATAATAATTTCCTGCAGACCGAATATCGGTCACGGCTGCCACACTCGAGGGAGACTAGCCATCGGCGCAGGACAGGATTATAGTGCCAAAGTGTATGCGCAAGCACAGGTGCACTATCTATTCCCGCAGTCTCATAAACCGATACTACCGAAGAGAGATCAGGCGCAGGACCAACGGCTTTACGTGCTTTCCGAGGCACACGGGTGAGACATCGTCAACTTCCTGACTCCGGGCAGCTACTGAGAACTTCCTGACGAGAAAACTCGATAATCGATTTTTTGCCTGACCCGGAATTCAAACCCAGGATCTCACGATCAGTAGTCGCACTACTACAACCACTAGACCAACGAAGCAGACAAAAAACTAAAATAACAATAGGAATGTTCCACCGCTGTGCGCCACTTCGCTACCTGAGGCCGCCTTATCGCGGCGGACAAAACTACCCTTATTGAATTTGTCATTACTTGTTTATCTTTAGTAACGTGACAAGGTAAGGAAGGACCTCTGTACATTTTATTCATTTCTATTTCTCACGCCACCATATCATCTCATAGGGGCTCAAGTAAAAGGAGAAATTGCAGGGCAAAACCATAATTTTAAAATCACATATTACAATTTAAAAAAAAATAACTGATGTTGAAATTTTACATTTTACAAATACTAAATATTTTATAGAATACTAGTGATACGCCCCGGCTTCGCACGGGTGATTTCTGGATGTCGACAACAACGCCACCTAGCAAGTCGAATATAAACAGACTACCCATTCAAACACACACAAAAAATTTCATCAAAATCGGTTAAATGGTTTCAGTCTATAACTGACATAGGTGGATGTACTATTTTTTGTGTTTTATATAGACAGATTTTATATGTAATAGAAAATAGATTTTGAAAAAGAATTATTTCAAATGCAAATTAAAAATAAGAACATATTTTGCATTTTGTACTTGCTTTTTAAATATATAAATATTTCAAATAATTCACATCTCTGTTAGCCAATCAAATTCACTCACACGACTGGGACTTTGTGTACGCTCAATTTGTTTGTACACTTGGGCCCCTCGCCTAGTTATCTTATTCCTTAATTAAGCCATACCATTTTGATTTCCGGTGCCGGTATACTCGTATATTGATAAAACGAAGTATCCGTTATAAACATAATTATACTAAAGTCAATATTTCGATTACAATAGCTTTTTATTTTGCAATGAAACGACTTTGTATGTAAACTGCCGTCCTTGTTGGATGTAAACAAGGAAGTTACGTGTACTCGCGTTTTTGAATTAATGAAATTTAATTTTAAAAAAAATGGCATATTATATGTTTTTTTATTTGTTTCGTGTTTATTTTGGTTTTACTAACTAAATAAAGAAGTGTAAATATATTTTAAAAAACTGAATCATTTTAGAGTAAGTTTAATTAGTGCGAGTGAGCATTTATTACAAAATAATTATTGTGGGATAAGACACTTAAAAATGTCGCTCGTTGTTTTACTTCATAATTTTATATTTCATAATATTTTATGTTCATAATTTTACCTAAATTTTGGAAATCTATATTTAATCCCTCACCATTCTTAATTTCTTACCTATTCCAGATTTGAAATTTTTCATGTGAAAAAGGCTTATTGACAACATTCTGCTTGGTATCGCAATTCTAAATGTTCATATCCTAATCGTATTTGAATCAGATATAAATATAGAGTAATCAAAATCAGATACGTATACAGAGTAGTGTGGAGGTCTTTTTCAAAAAAATAACCAGTCTCTAGCGGTGGGGATCTTATTGATTGTTACTTTACGACGTTCTCGAAAGAAGGCATAACCGTTTCTCTTTAAGTCGTAATCATAGGTCTACGTTAGACACGTAATTAACAAGTGCATAAACTTACTGGCATGTCCTTGCAAGGTGTGGCTTTCCGTACGAATTTGAACAGCGACTCGACGATGTTAGCCGAAGTGGGCACGGGGCACGTTTCTAAAGCGGCCACAACGCACGTTTGCAATTCGGTCAGTTGATTGCATTCCTTTTCCTGCAATGAAAATTAAAGAAATATTTTACTAGTATTTTCTTCATTATTGATACTTTTTAATTGACAAATAAACAAAACAAGTATCGCCAGATCATGAATACAACGTAAAAATATTAGTAATGCAAAAAGTTGTAAAATACAGACAAACTATACTTTTTATATTAGCATGCAAAAATATGAGGCATAAACGACGTACTCCAAAAGCAATTTGCGGGATGCTGTCGGCGCTAAAGTTCTTAGGGTCGAAGTTATACGCTGTGCCGAATGTTTTGTTCACGCATTCATGGATCAAAGTTTCCTTCTCCATCACGCAATCGGGACCTTTCTCCGCGATGAACACTGAAAAGATATTAATTACTCTTTACAGATTTCTCTACAAAAAATCAGTTTAGCATTGTTCTTCATCGGGCTGTTAAACGTAGAAATACATAAGAGTAGAAAATCCGGCAGTAGAATGCTGGGAATAATCCAATGTGGTGGAGATCTACCGTAATCACCACGCTTCGTGGATTAGCAATCGCTGTACTAGACGTATCGCACTTTGACGCCACTATTCGTCGCCAATCAGAGTATTTTACATCGGGATTATACGAGATCGTTATACAAACATCCATTGGATATTTTTCATAGAAATAAGAGTGACAAGGATGCACAAAGTACACCCGATGGTAAGTGGATGATGTGGCCCATGTACGCCTCCTACACCCAAATCTATTACCCTTGAGGTCCAAGGTGGAATGCCCTCGTTATCAGTAAGAAAAGTTCAGTATCCAGTTTTCGTCATTCAATATGAAACTTTATTTCCTAGGCTATAGGACTTCTTTTCACATACGAATGCTAATCGTAAGACGTGACCACGTTTAAAAAATCGAAGTACTAAAACGCCCAAAAGTTACATTTTTTTAACAAGGTTGCCAACAAACTAAACAATTTTGACATAAAATTAAACTGCGACATGTATGGTTTAAAGTCAAAAAGACGTAAGTTATGGAGTGAGGAGGTAAGGAGTACAGACTGTGTATTAAAAAGTGTCCATAGAAAACTGTTAAATAAGGGTGGCGCCACTATAGCTACGGGCTAAATTTTAAAGAACATGCCGAAAAATATTAGTGGGATAGACGGCTTTTTCGAGGTTATATTTACTAAATAAAATTATTTTAGATTTTAGAGCTACTGAGCAGTTTAGCAGCACACTTCAAATCGTCGACAACTGCTAAGTTCATTTCATCCCAGTAGCTACTCCAGCTGTAGTGGAGAGTTTTTGAACTGTTACTACTGCTTACAAATGGTCACTTTTTCAACTATTATACTATGAGAGTTGGTACTCTTTACTTCTACACTCCCTAACGTAAGTGTTAAATGAATCACTCACACGCGATCCTATCGCCCTCTTTGTAGCAAATAAACTCCGCAAGCTGCTCGGAAACATTGTGCACAGTCTTTAGATTAGCACGCTCATCGGGGGTAAGGCATGGCTTCACTGACTCCGTCATATTGCGGACGCAGTTCTTAAACAGTGGCGTCTTCTCGCAGTACCTGAAAAAGTAATAAAATTGTTAATTAGGATGACTTCTGAAAAGGAAGAGGCTATTAATTCGATTGTATTTTTAACCCCCGACGAAAACAGAGGGTTAAGTTTGTATTTGTAGAGAGTATGTGTCTGTGGCATTATAGCTCCCGAACGGATGACCGATTTTGATTTAGTTTACTGTACTTCACGCTAAGAAAATTGAAAATTTTCAAAAATCGGGAAGTTATTGTTTTTACCGTTTTTCGAAGTGTGCATGCGTGCGTGCGTGCGTGCGTGCGGTGTGCGTGCGTGTGTGTGTGTGTGTGGTGTGTTGTATGTAAACCTCTTATAACCTTTAAATGGCTTGACCGCTCGAAATGAACTAAGCGGATTTCCAAATTGTTTCATCAAACTTAGATTTCCTATGTATTCTAACTAATGCGATCCGGTACATTTTGAGAACTACTTTTAAACGGCCACCACCTTTTAACTGGCCTTACCAATCGATTCCAAAACCTATTTAGTTTTTAACCTTGAAAAACCACGTCAATCGCCGCCGGTCCGGTTTCAATCGGTTGGTTCGTTCGTGAGATATCGTTAACGAAAAATTTTGAAAAAAAAAATTGATTTTTTATTCAACGTCATAATTTGGTGAAATTTGAAGCAGTTTGCAATCGTAATTAGCGGGAAGTACCAGGGATGGCCTGCAGGGTCAACCAATTTTTTTTGTTGGTTAGACATGTTTCCAGAAAATCTTATCAGCCGTTTGAAGATCACCAGCTCTTTTCGTTTTGGGGGTTATTAAAATGTTTTAATTTAAGTTGCATGTTTTTCGATGCATGTACTAACATTTTTTTAAACTAGGTTGCTTTTTCATCGAAAGTGAACATTTACTTCTTTAACAATTTGCACTTATAAGATGCTATCCTTATTTCGATATATTCATAATTCCAAATGCAATTTTAAGTGATGATTAATCTAAGTCTGATTTTTTTTAATTATTCAAAATATGAATTGAAGTAAAACAGAACTAAAAAGCAGTAATAAAAACAACTCAAATTCCAGGGCATTCCGGGGCTTTAACACGCAAAACCTTCTAAGGGGGAAAAAGGCCCCAGGGGGGGGGGGGGGGTTGGTGGCCCCCCCCCCAAGGGGTTTTCGCCGGGGTCTTTTTTTTTAGGGCGTCTTTCTTTTTCTTTGGCAGCGGTGTAAGAATAATCCACTGTCCCATAACGTCCTATAAGTGTCATAAGAAGCGGCAGATGGAGGAGGAGAGAGGAAGAAATTGCAGGAGTTGGAAATAGCATCTACCTGATAATAACTCAAGGTAACAAAACACTGAAGTTAATGCCAGGCGTGACGACCATGCTAAAATCATCCCTATGAGGCAATCGCCCACGCTCAGTAGTTGACTTTATAGGCTCCAAAGAATATATAGGACGGATGGATAACACGCAAACCTGTAACGGGGAGTGGTGAACCCCGTGACCTCTTTGCGCGGGTTTTAATACAATATACTGCTAATTCACACGTCAAGCGTAGCAAAAATATAATTCCGGCGTGGAGAATTTAGAATCAAACGATTGCTCTGTAATAATTTTCTGGCGTTGCAGGATTACTTTGTGGATCTCCATTTTTTTATATCCTTAACCAACTGTTCTCTTTTCCTGTTTTGATTTCACATGTTTTATAGGTGTTTGAATCAGAAACAGCTATATTTAATTATGCATGTACCATGTATATAATCATTGTACGTATAAGTAAAATTTATATATTGGTTTAACGTTGCTGATAATAAAACTGAAAACAGCGGGAAAACAATGGTATTCTTTGGTTTGCGTCGAATTACATTTTGAAGTCGTTATACTTATTCTAACTTTATAAGTAATATTTATCCAAGAGCTTAAAAAACGTTTATAGCCGTGGTAGCTCAGTGGATTAGTGCTCGCTGTAAATTTCACAGTACGCGAGCAACCCGGATTCGATCCCCGCCAGCACCAATGAAATTGTTAATTGCAATTTTAAGTGCTGATTTATCCACGTTCTATGCGGTGAAGGAAAACATCGTGAGGAAACCTGTATGCCTGAGAGAAAAAATTCGAAGACGTGAATTTCGCCAACACGCATTGAGGCAGCGCAGCGGACACTTCCTTGCCCTAAAACCCTCTCAGAAGTGGAAGAAGGTACCCAGCAAGAACTGTACCCAGCAGTGGGACTTATATAAGCTGTTACTTCACGTTACTTTTAAAAAACTTTTTAAAAGTTATTTTTTTTTTAATTATTTAAAATTCTTATAACTTGGTGAACGGTGATCAATTCTAAATGTGTGATTGCATCTGTCTGACGCTGTGACAGTTTTCGTAATGTGTGCACTTCTCCAGATACTGTTAAAACTTGTAAAATGTTTATGTTCTCATGATAAGTAAATTTCTGTATTCTTTAATGAGAATTAAGTTCTTCAATCGAAACTTTCGCTTGAACTATTCGGATTGAAAGCGAGTGAGTGCTCTATGAAAGTTGTTGAAACAATAGAGACTATATTCTTCTTATTTCTCATCAGCCCGTAAAACCCAACAGCTTAACAACTTCTTCCGTTGTAGTTAGGATATACCACAATAGTCACACTTGGCAAATGGATAGAAATTCGCAGTAATGGACACTCGTTCCTTTGACACTGCGCCTCTCAACGGTGTATTTCTCTGGATATTATATTTGCCTGATAGGGAATAATGGTTCAAGAGTTAAAGCCTCCTACTGGCAAGCAGACGGCCCTACTATATGGAGTGACGACCAGGTAAGACATGCAGGCAGTTTACCGTGTCTTGTGGTATTATTGCGAGGGAGGCGTATGTTCAGCAGTTGATTAGTGAAGGGCTGCATAATGTATGCTAATTTGTTTATGAACGTATCTCTATTACTGTGTGAATGTATATATATATATATATATATATATATTACATTCGATATTTCAGCGGAGGCCGATGCCCTCAATCAAAACCACGGCTTCAAATTTCACAATCATTTGTGCTATAACAAAAATGTTTACGTGCAAATTTGTAAAGGAAAGTGTTACTTAGAGTTGCACGGTCATGGAATATACCCTTATAATTTCGTTGTAGACACCTCCTTTTAGAATTCGTGATGAAATTTAAGGACGGATGTGGAGAACGCGTGGTGGCAGAGACCGTGTGGTGACGGTGGAAGTATAATGTCACAACGTGGTAACTTTTAGAATTCGTGATGAAATTTAAGGACGGATGTGGAGAACGGGTGGTGACGGAGACCGTGTGGTGACGGTGGAAGTATATCCACCCTCACATCTTCTCTTGGGTGTCGTAAGAGGCGACAGAGGGAAATTTAACCAAATGATGGACAGCAGCATCTTCGAGATAAGAACAGAATAAAAATTAATAACTGCAGTTGCAAACCCGCTTGCCAAGTGTGGCACTATGGCAAATATCCCTCAACTAACAATAACCGAACCCTAAATCACGCTATCGATATTTTGCATTGACTGCTATAAATATAAGAGCTCTGTACTACTACAGGGAATGCTGGCCGCTTTTTGGGCTGAACACTTCAACTTTGCTTGGCGGGAGATTCTCACCTTTTCTACCAGCGATCAAAGGCATCATGTCGTATTTCTCTTTTGATAGATAGCTAGTTAAATAAGGACTCACTTCTTGAATACCTCATCCACTTGTCCATTAGGTTTGGCCTCTTCGATCTCACCGTTGAGGACTGAGAAGTCCACCAGGTCCTGGATGCACTTTGAAAAGTTCTTAAAAGCTGTCTGTGAACAAAAGAAATAAAAAATAAGTACTAATTGATGATAGCTATGTAATATGGTGCCCTTGTGGGCCCCCCCAAAAATCGAGGGGGGTGGGGATTTTTGTATTTTTTTAAAAAAAAAATTCTAAATTCTGCTTGGCGACAGAGATAGTTAAAGAGGTCTAACCCAGACAAGGTCACAGGCAGAGAAGGAGCATATCACGTTTGATTATATACTTGTATACACATACTACAAGTTTATAATCAAAGCATATCACTTAATAGTCTTTATGGACAGTGAGTCTATAAATTAACCTAAAACTTATGAACTATGTTAAGTAACCAACTTTAAAGTCTAAAAATTATTCTGGCGAAATTAAAACAATATCTGTGAATGATCCCAAGTAGTTCGTGCCGTGATTAAGATCCTCACTTAGCATTGAAAAACGCCACATAACATTATGGAAAAGACGTTATCGTTTACAGTGACTCTTACCCTGGAAAAAACGATGATTTATAATTTGCCTTTTCAAGCAAAGCAGAAACTCAATTGAAGACGATCAGCACCCAGGCAGACCGATTGAAACAACTCAGACATTGTTGAAAAAGAAAAAACTTGGTCTTAAAGAGGTTCGTCTGAAGAAAAAACAGATCGCTGAAATGACTGCAGTAATATATTAAACATTTTCCATGACCATCTTGACATGTCTAAGGAGCAAGATGGGCGCCAAGAATGCTCACACCTCTTCAAAAACAGCTGTGTCGAGTCTTTGCGCGAGTTTTTGGACCTGTGAGGGACCAAATTATAAACCGAATTTTGACAGAAAATAAAACTTGGGTTAATCAATATGAAAGCGAGTCAGATCAGACGTTCATACAGTGGCATAAACAGGCGCAGCTCAGCCTAAGAAGTTCAAGGTGCCACAATCGGCTGGATAGACTACGGCTTCAGTTTTTTGGAATTCAGAGGAGATTTTATTTATAGATTATAAAGATGAAGGTGTCAATATCACAGAACAGTGTTATGCTACACTATTGAAGAAATTAAGATGCTATTAAAGAAAAAATAAGGGGAAAGTTGATTTGAGATTTGCTTCTTTTGCGCGACAAAGCACCTGTTCACAAGTCATGTTGCGTAGGCTTCCTTACACAAGCGAAGCTTCGAAATTTTAAACTACCCTTCCTATAGTCCAGATCAGGCCCTTTTGGATTGTCATTTGGTTTCAAGTATGAAAAAAGAGCTTCGGGAAAAGAAATTTACAGATGACAAAGAAATAAAGTCGGCAATTTCTGCCTATTTTGAGAGACATGACAAAACATTTTTTTTCGACAGTAAATTTAAGTTATTTGTACAGTTTGAATACTAATTGTAACAATGTACTTAACGGGAGCCACAGGTTTTTTGTTACATGTACATATTATGATATTATGTCTAGACATTTCGCACACCTGACGCTTCTCCCCGTCACCTGTCGGTGACATATCCATTATATTATCGACCCGTGAACAGTCAACAATGTGGGTATATTCCTTATGATCCTTTTTTAAAGTCGACATACATGGGACACGAGAGTAAATAAAATTATTTTTTTTATTTTATTGAATAAGGTTCACAGACAGTAGTTATATAAAGGTCTGAAATTAAAAGTATATTTGTGTTGATCTAAACTACAAACCAAAAAAGTGTACACAGCTTAATAATATTTAACTACAGTATAATCTTAGTCTTAGCATAAATAAAACAGATAACAAATTCATTAAATGTTAAGAGAAACAGGTAAATTTCTTTTAAATCTAACCAGGCTGCTATCGAATATATCTATCTAGATGTACGTCACTACGCTTAATCTCGTCGTAATCATGGCACATTTTGACAACAGGGTTGAAAAAGGAAGCGTTATTCTTGTGTATGTCTAACCTGAAAATTCTTTGAACACGTTGTCGTATACCGGAATTGAGGTTAATCAGCCTTAGTAACTCTGGGCACTCTATACGAGAATGCACAAACGTACAAAAATATAGTATGTGCGAGCGTGCGTGCGTGCGTGCGTGCGTGGGCTGCTGCGTGCGTGCGTGCGTGCGCACGGTATACCATGAAGTTTTAAAACTAACTACCTGAAACCTGCAGACGTTGTCCTACCAGTTCATATCATAGTGTGTACTGTGTGCTCGTGCGTCATCCTTATTCTATAAAAAAAAGGTTGGCATGCATCAGCAGCCGTGAGGTCTCGTCAGTTATTCGATTTTAGTATTCAGAGGTGCAGAAATAAAGAATTTCTCAATAAATGGTATACATTTATAAATAAAGTAGTTATGAAACACGATATAATATATAGCGCAATCATCCTCACATACTTGCGTTCAGCAACGTCATTTTTTTTGCGCATGCAATTTAATTAATTAATTGCCAAGTTTGTTTAAAAAAAAGCAATAATTTTGTTTCTTTCTAAATATATTTTTTTAATTTGTTTTAGCTTATAAACAACATATACAATCCTTCATGGTGATCGATCAAATAGATCTTGAGTTAAACGATTTCATATATTATATATTATGGTATAGCACGCTCTCAGAGAATACCAGCTTAATACTGCTGTGTTTCGTGTGGTGGATACCGAGAGTATTTTAAACTGGAAACGGGGCATTCCATCTTAGTCCTCAGGAGTGACAACGCATCTGCATTTTGATTTTTAATAATCTTAATCGAAGATAAATGTAGACCACAGCATCCACTTATCATCAGGTGGACTGTGTGCTCGTTTGTCACCATTATTATATAAAAAAATATACAACCATTCTCTTTTATATTTTTTCACACACACACACACACACACACACACACACACACACACACAAGCACGCACGCTCGCACGCACGCACGCACGCACGCACGCACGCACGCACGCACGCGCGCACGCTCACGCGCACGCTCACGCGCACGCGCACACGCACACGCACACGCACACGCACACGCAACGCACACGCACACGCACACGCACACGCACACACAGACACACGCACACGCACACACAGACACACACACACAGACACACACACACAGACACCCACACACAGACACCCACACACAGACACCCACACACAGACACTCACACGCAGACACCCACACACAGACACCCACACACAGACACCCACACACAGACACCCACACACAGACACCCACACACAGACACCCACACACAGACACCCACACACAGACACCCACACACAGACACCCACACACAGACACCCACACACAGACACCCACACACAGACACCCACACACAACACGCACACGCACACGCACACACAGACACCCACACACAGACACCCACACACAGACACCCACACACAGACACCCACACACAGACACCCACACACAGACACACACACACACACACACACACACACACACACACACACACACACACACACACACACACACACACACTGTTCAACTAGGACAAGGCCGGGCGGGCCTTTAGTTAGTTACCTACGCTATTGCTACTTGTAGGTCAGCATTGTTATCAAAATATTATAATTTCATTTGAGATTGTTGATTGTGATAATTATATTTAATTTTTTAGTAATTACAGATATGTAAAAATATATACAATTTAAAATCTAATATATTTTATTATTGAAAATTCCGTCTTTTTGTCGATAGCGATATTCTGCTACATGTGACTAACTTAACCCTAATGTGAAACGTATACTGGCGGTGTAAGAATATCCATTACTTTTATCATAGAATACTATAATTCCCAATAGAATGGCTGTCAACCTTATTTTGTACGAGGTTCGGCGTCGCCGGGAACACACATACATGCAATTACGTCGTATTATCACTACTACAAACACGATTCGCTGTGTTGACAGACTGAGTAAATTTACACATTTTAGACCTTTAATTACTGTTCAGGATCATCATTCAAAAAATCGTTAAAATTTTAATACATAGGTATTTATTTGTAAATAGTGTGCAATTTGGCATTTTCTAAATAATTTGCAAGCGAAATTTGAAAACGATTGTAACGTCAAAACACATCTCGTGTTGACATTCATACGGGTGAATTGACATGATAGTGACATTTTAGTGGCTACACGGACTCCGCCCACCCCCCTTCTATTATGTTTGTATTATAGTATTCTATGACTCTTATCACCCTGTGGATGTCGTAACTAGAAATAAAAACTGCGGTTGCCAACCCACCTGCCTATCGTGGCAACTCTGGCAAATTGCCCACTTATGAGACAATCTAGGGGGTGCCTCCGCATTTATACGTGGCAGAGCCACCCTGCAGCTATATTATGGTTGTAGCACGAATGGGTCGGCTCGACCGGGGCAGGACCACGCTCTCACAGAATACTAGAGTAATGATGCTGTGTTTCGTTTAGTGAGTGTCGAGAAACGAAGACCCTTTTAATTGGAATCGAGACATTCCATCTTAGTCCTCAGGGGTGACAACGCATCTGCATTTTGATTCATAATCGAGCATAAAATGAAGATGCCTATGGAACACAACATCCGCTTACCATCACCATCAGGTGGACTGTGTGCTCGATTGTCACCCTTATTCAATAAAAAAATTCAGTCGTGGACTTTGTTAGCCTGTAAGAGGGCGTCCATTAATGACATTTGACCCATTAATAATCTAAGATCAACGTGAAATAATAGCATAATAGTGGAGCGTGTATCATAATTAACATGACCCGGAGACCATTTAAACTGGCGCCAAGACATATCGTCTCAGTTCTCAGGGACGACAACGCATCATCCACTTACCATCAGGTGGACTGCAGTACACAGCCCACCTAATAGTAAAATTGGTGTGACCCTTACCCTTAGACACCTACATCTCTCCGTGATTAATATGCGAACTCTACAAATTGTATAAATTAAGCAAATTATATGTTTCTTTTTTTAAATAAACCTAATGCAATCTAGCACAGAATAATGTACTTACTTATGGATTAATAAATGAACGCCCCATAATGAATAAAGGAATAAAAATTTAAAATACC